ACTGCATGTATCACAGGTTCATTGATACCCATTTTAACGGGTTAGAGCCATTGACTTGATTGTGAACATTAACCCAATCACAGCTAGAGTGATTGGGAATGGATCAAGAACGTGCACCAGGAGGCACCTTAGTTAGTGAATTTGGCTGGTGACTGGCCATCACCCTAATTCTTATTAGAACTATCACGTGCTCAAGTAAATCATCCTGTCCCAGAAGGATGACATGTATCTATCACCTTAACTAATTTTCATCCTGTTGAAACTTCATATGCTCTAACAATTGTGTGTTAGCAGTTGCTGGCTGAAGTACAGAAATTCACTTGAAGACACCTGACTTTGAATTCTCACAGGGAGTCAAGCTGTGAAGAATGGGATAGCTTATGTGATTTTGGGAAAACAGCTGAACATTACAGTTTGAAATCCTAGATCCCCATTAAAGGGATCAGTTGATTTTTAGCTTCAGACAGCTTGCTTTGGCAACTCCAGCAGAGATATCCAAAGGTGAACCATTATTGCTCTTGTGGGAGGTTATACCCTGAATAGGTGTGAGCTATGGAAAAATCTGTAATATCAAGCTTATGCTTTGATTACATGTTAATGTTCAGTCTCTGGTCTGAATCTATTATCCTGAGATAACAATGAAATCATTCAGAAACTGTAAATGAAGAGTGTTGTATCACTCAACCCTTAAGCCCTGCTGAGTTTGGATCTCCCCATGAGGTGGAAGACTCAGTGCCACTGTGTTGGATTGCATTTAAACAAATACAGTCTGTTGGCAATGCCAGAACAGACAAACATGACCTGTGACCACACAAAGAAAAATATTTTGTTTGTTGAGATACACAGAACTGAATAGCAGCCTATTAAAACAAAGTGAGGCGAGACAGAAGCATTTCACAAAGCTAGGTAACTCTACCACAAGCTTTCATCATGTATGTCTCCTAATGAGTAACAAATGTCAACAAAATGGCATCTGTGTCAATTTTTAAAGCCTCCTGCAAAGTTCCTTGGCAAACACTGATTCTCTTCTTCCTCCAAGCTTCCACTGAACTGAAACTACAGCCTTCTTTGTTTCACTACACCATCAGCATGTCTCTGTCCATACCAAAGCAGTTAATTACTATAAAGCCCGAAGTAAAAGTTCACAGAGGAGAACAAGAGGTCACAAGCACCTGAGTGGCAATGATGTGGATCTTTTGTTTTTTAGAACGTATTTACCGATTTTTAAAAATATATTAAAATGTACATCCTGGTCTGTGCTACTAGACACAAACCCCCCCCAGAACTTGGCCATCAAATTACTTAGTAGTGTCCTGCTCACAATGTGACTTAGGACAAAGAGATAACTTATTACAAAATAGACCCCCAACCCAACAACAAAAATACCAAACCAAAACCAACAAAAAAAATGAACTAAAGAAACAAACACACAACCCCCCCCCCCCCAACAAAACAGTAGGCAGCTTAAAGAAACATTTCAGCTTAAAGAAACATTTCAAAAAGGAGTAGGAGGTGGTAAACACAATACTGAGCTGTGTGTTCCTTGGACAGGTTAACACTGCTTAGAAGTGAGAAGCCAAAATGTATTTACTGCTTTCATCATCACTTAAGCAAACAACCACTTCAATTAGCTTTTACTGTATGGATGTTTCCTTGGAGACCATAACGCCGTCCCTTAGGGCAGTTCACCAAGAAGAGGAGAGTGCAGAGGGTGGCTTACAGCCCACACTATCAAGAGCCTTAGAAGAGATGCCAAATGAACTCTCAGATTTTTTGATGAGTCTTGAAATAAAGGGGAATATGGAAGGCTGAAAAATATGCTACTGTTATACCAGTATTTTAAAAGGTTGAAATAGGATGAGACTGTCAGTCTTGTCAACCTGACATTGATTCCAGACAAAATAATGAAAAAGCTGATATAAGACTCAGTTAATAAAGGATTAAAGGAGGACAGTGTAATTACTGCCAATCAACATAGACTTTATAAGAAAATATAACTTGTCAAACTACCAACACTTTTTGGTGTGATTACAAGTTTCAATGGTAAAGGTAACAGTGTTGATGTAATATATTTTCACATGGTGTTTTACTTGGTGCCAGAAAGCACAGTGATGCAGCATATCATATCAGCTGATAGGTCTAAACTGCACCAGTAGATAAGGAGGCAGGCAGGAAGGTGCTACTGGGGCGCGTTTTTGTTCCAGTGCTACATGCAAATTAGGCTGCTGGCATGGAGATATCTCTGTCTGTCATGTTGACTAGTATCGCTTCGTTCTCCCCCTGAGCTCCCACCTACTCTACCCATCTGTTGCCACCTTTCCTATGCTTTGCCTGGAAGTGCCTTGGCACAGGAATGGCCACCAGTCCCCTGATTAATACTAAGGACTCTAATCCTGACCTAAAACCTGCCTGGCACATCAGTCTTTCTGTGTTGCTGTACCAGCCTCTCTGCTTAGATAACCCATAATTTTTATTAGTTCATTAAACCAGATTGCTCTAGGAATTTATTCACAAGGCAGCCTTCCCTATCGTGGAGCTATTGTCTGTGTAACAGACAATATGAGAACGACACCTAAACAACAGAAAGCTGTTCATATAAAGTAGAGAGCTTAAAGTAAACGTGGACAGAACCTGACAGGCAAGAGCTTTGACATTAAGAAATGCAGTCAGCACACCACAGTAATTCACACACCAAGATCTCCATCTGCTGCTTTGATTTCCTCTCCACATACAGCAGTAAGTAGGGCAGGGGACAGAAGAAGTGCGATTGGCTGTATTTTCCCAAACAGCAGCTCTCGCTCATCCTTGACCACAGAAGTGTACTGTCAATTTTTAGAAAGCTGCCAGGTTAGGAACACAGGGTTTTTAGTATCTCTTCTCAAATGCCGTAAAGGTTACATAAGAAATACATTTGGCATTTTTGCATTTAAACATAATTCAGAAATTACGGTCTGGATACATGGTAGGATGAAGCAATTTAAGGCATTCAAGCTTAGATTAGCCTGTGTTAAAAGGAAAACGGATGATGGACTTTTTCCTCAGCCAAGGCTGGCAACCTCACCCTCAACTACCAGGCCAAGGTTAAAGAACTTTTGAGCTTGAGTAGAGGTTTTTCAACCATGATGCTGAAGAAAGAACTAACATAAGACTTGGCACAGGCTAACTAGAAAGGAAAGCATGCTATCAGTACTGTAACTTCCAATGGCTCTGAAATATAATGCTGAAAATGACAATGCTGCTGACCAATATACCGAGCACAAGAAATTCTCTGGCTATTCCACAATTGCAACATCATTTTCTGGTTTTTGCCTTTCATGCCTCCTCCTAACATTTAAAATTTCAACTCTCCTGGTTTCTGCAACACCTGCACAAGTTTTTCAGCACAAATGTAAAAAAATACACATTTTGAAAGCTGAAAGCATAGGTAAAATAAACAGAATATTAAAACATAACACAAGCAGCTACCGCATTAGAAGAATTAATTTTAATTCAAGTCAATAAAAGCCTTTACTGTGGAGTCCCAGACATTCCATCGTGAGGTTCTACAACACTGTAGAAGCCAACAAACCTTGCCTTAAGTAGGCTCAGCACAGGATCACAGAAAAATTAGATCTTGTTTTTAAATGTCCATGATTACAATTCCTGTCTTCTTTTGTTATTTTTGGAACCAGTAGGCACTTGTGTCTTGGGGCTCAAATTCCCAAAACAGTGCAAGACGAAAAAGCCTGGCTATTTCCCAGAAACAAGCAAACTGCAAAGAGGGCTGGAGAAGGGTTGAAGGCAGGTGTCTCCAGCAAAGTGGGGCCACACAAGAGTTCTGCAGTGTTGCCTGGCAGCAAGTAATTATCTGCCAGTGTGCTGTTTCCACGTGCCAGCAGCCAAAGCCCACACAGGCAGCAAGCGCAGGAAAGTACGTGCGTCAGCTAAAACTATAGGCTATCTCCACTGTTTCCAATGCAAAAAAAACCAGAGGTGCTTTGGAAGCTAGGCTTTGGCTGAGCTCTTACTACTACTGCAACAGCAAGGTCTAGGAACAATGCACTCAAACCAAAATGTCAAGAGAGACAAAAGTCTGGAAGATATCACACAAGACCACTGCCACACTAAATCAGCCAAGCAAAACCAGCAACAGTTCCACCCCAAAATGGCTGGGAAAACTCCAATGAAGACTGTTAAGAACAGTTAAATAAATCCCATCAAAAATGGCTTAGGCACTGATTGTGACTTAGGATAAGGAAAAGGGTCATGCAGCTTCTTGAGAAACCTTTCAACACTCCTTTCAGTGGTGGTCCTTTGATTACCTACATCCCAACCTAACCTGTCCACACATCATCTCTTGCTCTCCCCCAAGCTCCAAAATTACTCCCCCACACTGGGATTAATTACAGAGCAAATTAGACCCAGTCAAAAAAGACTCACACTCAAGATATGTGTCATCTATAACCATCTCATTCATGAACTGCCAGACTGCCATACTCCTCCTCTTCACTCCACCTCCACTTGCCCTCTAAGACTCTCAAATGCCTGTGTTCTGTATGTGGTGGAAGCTGAGTTTTTTAATATGCACTTATTAAGATCCTAATTGAATCCCGCATTGCCTTGTGTGCGTCTTCCTAGCCGGAACATGAACAAGGCACCCTATAATTCAATTAGAAGGACCTGCAGCAAGCTGATCATTAGTCTGTCAGGGTTTTTTTTTTAAAAAAAGACATCTAGGAATACGGGAGGAAGTTAAATAAAGGGAGAATTGTTAACAGCACCCCTCCCCAATTCATGCAGACACTCCCATACACGTACTTGAAGCATGGAATCTGCAATGCTCTGCACTTGAATGACAGCTCACCACATCACTCCAACAGTCGTTCCTCTTGCTTCAGACAACTTAAACAGAACCTCAAAAGTTGGAATTACTTCTCTTTATCAATCCTCCTCTGCTCAGATTCATGAAAAAAATACCACTAATATATACATGAGTACTGCAAACAAGGAAATCTCATTACCTGCCAAAACCCTGTTGACAGAGGAATGAGTGGCCAAGCCAGGCTGTCCCCGTTCATGGAAAATCCCAGCATAAGGCAAATATTCTGGCAGCAAAAAGCGTCTGCAAAACAAAGAGAGTAAGCTTACCCAGAGAAAGACATCCCAGTGTACACAGCCCTGGAGAGCAACCGCAATTACTTTGAGAAAATATGACTACATTCCAGCAGACTATAGTAGAGGAAAGGCTGGAATCCTCTGCTTAGCCAACCGCTTTACTGCTTCAAACAAAAAACGAATTACAGATTAGATCCTCCTCTGATCAATGCGGTTGCAAAGATCAGCATTAACCAAATCCTCTACCTCCCACAATAGCATCCTAATCTCAAACCAGCACATTGTGCTGAGGATCTCTGATCAGATTCTTTTCTTCTCCTATTCTGCCTTCACACCATGGTTCCAACCTGCAAGTAAGAAGCACTAAGATCATGCTGTCCTTCAAATGACACAGGATGAGCTGCTCATGCTAACATGCCATCTCAGGAGTCCCAGAAATCGAAAACCAAGGATACAGCAGCCCTGTGCAAGAAAAGAAATCCATCTGAAAGCACCAGAGAGCTGTACTGCAACTGGTACCTCCAGGATTTCCACACCCTTTTACTCTTCTGTGTAGATGCCTTACCTTGGGACAAAGCGCCCTAGCGATGGTGCAGACATGCGCGCGTTCCGCGGAGCTCGGTGCCTAGATCGGTCTCCATTGTCCCTTCAGTAAAGGAAAGAAAATTATTGTACATGAAAAATACTGCGGAATAAAACATTTTCCAAGAAAACAAAAACCCAACAACATCACCTAGTCATCTTAAACATGCTACAGAGATTTAATGGTTTTCATGTTTCTATAATGTTCCAAATTCATACAACTAACTGTACCAAATCCTCTTGACAATTTTACATATGGGTAACCTCAAAGTCTGCTTTCTTAATTGTTTTACAATATCTCAAAAGTATCAACAAAACCACAGAGAGCCAATGAATCAATGTCAGCACCTGAGCAAATGAAAGACAAACCTTAGAAATTTGACTGGAAGAGCAAAAGCAAGCTCACGACAGTCCTGAGGAGAACTTTCTGTTAGTCAAAGAGATCTGCTATGCTTCACAGTTTCATTCCCAAAAGTACAGGCAAAAGAGCATAATCTGCACACTATTCTTTTGTGTTCTTTCCCTCAAGGTCCAGTTCAAGTGGATCTTACGATAATCTCACTTTTCAAAAGCTTTTCCAGTTAAATCATAAATGTTCGGTGGTATCAGACAAAACTGCACCTCCTTAATAACATCTCATTCTGCTTAACAGTAACTGTCTGGGCCTTGGGAAATGAGGTAAAAAGGTCTAGCATCTATTATCCTACAGCAGATACAGGAAAGTCTTCCTGACAAGGGCAGTGCAATGCTGAACAGGTTGCACGGAGAGGCTGCAGAGCTGCCATCCTTGTAAGTCTTAAGACAGCAGCCAGACAAAGCCATGGCTACCCCAGTCTGATTCTGGCAATAACAACTGTACAACAAGCAGGAGGTCAAACAGGAGGACTTTCAGAATCCCAACCAAACAAAATTCCTGATATTGCATCCATAGGCCACAAGAGGATCTGTAATTATACAGCACTAAAACCACAAGGAAAATAATGAAACTCCATTAGTGACACTGGAGTTCTGAAACAGACCTTCGCAGTGCTTTCTTCTCTGTTCAGAATTTACTCTCTGTATGACCTTGCAGAAGTAACAAGTTTGTTCTCCCTGGATTCCAGATCTCCATCTGTAATTGCAGCCCTCCTTTTCTCCTTCCCAAGCAGTTGTGGGGGGAATATTACTTGAAGAGCCTAGAAATCACTAGGAAACTAAATATTCCTTATGCAACACACCAGCAGCACATTTCTAACCCACTCCAGCAAGCTGTGCATTTTATAATCTTTTTTCGTTTTGCTTTTTTAAAGTCAGTGAGCAAGAAACGTAGGCTGAGAAGAAAGTCCATTACGTGGCTGTTTCCCACACACTTGAGGAACCCAGGAACACAAAAGCAGAGGTTGTTCTGCAAAGGTCATTAGCATTTCAAGCTATTTCACCAAAACCCAATCTGAATCCAAGCTCAAAGCTTCCACTTCTCCTCCCACTGCAGACACAGCACTTGCAGTTCACAGCCAGAGCCGCACCTCACCTTCAGGTTTCTGTGTAACCAGCAGGGTTCCTAAAAATCAGAAACGTAAAAGCTACTGCTGTTCTTTTATCAGTTAAGATGTAGATCAATAACAGAAGGAATCCTGTAAACTCAAAGTGCTGACATATCAACTTTTCCTGCTAAAGAGAAAAGGCCAAAGCAAAAAAGAAGTGTCATATTCCAGTTCTTGCCACACAGAGTAAGAGCTAGCAGAAGACAAAAATACATTTTTTAAAACTCTATGTAGCAGTTTGAAACAACACTGATATGCAAACCTGAGAGAAAAGCAACAAAACAGTTTTCAGAGTTTGCATTTGCTTTGGACATTTACTAGAACTGGAAGATGCTCTTGAAATGGACAAATATCAGGAAGAGGAACAACAGCAGGACTACACCCTGCAGAACTCTCCAGTGGAAGAGAATCTCTGTGGCAGGTTTCAAAAGGAATGAGGAATTAGCTCCAGCAAACAAAAGAAGATAAAAGTGCAAATCCAGAGACCTAAAGCAACTAACTGTTCAACTTTCTTTAAATGCCACTAGCCAATGGACTTAGTATCCATGAAAACATTTTTAGACACAAATCTTCTAATCAGAGAGACTTTCTGATGTGAGAAGTGCATCCTGTACTGCCCTATTCACTGTGCATACAACCTCCCCCCAATACAAAAAACAACAACAAAAAAACCAAACAAAAAAAAAAAAAGGGGGAGAAAATATAGACTAGGCTTTTCTTCAGTTTTCACCATAACAGAAGACAGCCTTTATTGATTCAAAAGACAGTCATCTATTTTTAGCATCCCTAAAAAAAAATAAATTAAAAACCAGACCCAAATGGTCACTGCCCTATAACTCAAACTACAGGGAATAAGAAACAGTGGCTATCCTTCAAGAATGCTGGAATTCCTATTTACTGTAAATGGAAGTGTAAGATACACTTCCCCGAGGTAAAGAAGAATATTACTAAACATTACTCTGAATTACTAATTTACAGAGCCATTTATATCTAAACTCCCGTGCTCAACAACTACATGCAAGAGTGTCTAGCCTAGTGTTGAAAAGCTAGAACAGCAGATATTACCCTGATGCCAGCTGAAGATTATTTCTGCACTCTCTAAAAAGGAAAATAAAAAAACCCCTACAGATCAGTGAAGATGGGTGGCACTTGTGTTATTTCTGTACCACACACAGCCTGCTGACAGAGGGAGGAGAGCAGATGTTAGCACACTGCAGTGCCAGCGTGAAGCACTCCAGCAAGAAATGAGACGTTTTCAAAGTTCTCTGATGCTCTACTTTCTATTTAGTGTCAACTACCTATAGACTCATTAGCTAATGATTCACAGTGGATAGTTTAATCCACATTACCTGCAAAAGTGGAAGGCAAATCCCTCAGACTGCATGTGTGTGTCTACATAAAAAAAGCCTCTTCTGTAAAGCAACTCAATAACCGTGCAAAAGTAAATGAAACAAAAATGCACCACAGTAAGGTGACAAGGGAAACTTATTACTCTAATTATTAACAGACTACTTTGTCTCAGCTGGAAATCTGCAAGAACAACAAATGGTCAGAACAGCTTTAAGTGTCTGGTTCAAAATTCAGGTTATTCTTCATTTGTTCAGACACCATTGTGGGACAAATCAAAACAGTGATGTGAAGAATAAGAGTTGGTATGGGAGAAATAGTATTAACACTAACTACAACAGAGCACAAAAAGAAAGCAATTCTCAAACATTCAGGAGATTTATGGACATTTAATAGGGCATAAGAAGGATGAAAGTTTATTCTAGACTAGGTAAGACAGCGAAATCCTCTTGCATTGTCTAGTTTGTTTGTTGAAAGAAAAGCTGACCAATGTAAATTTAATGGAGCAGCAATGTCAGCTCTGAAAACAGAGCTGGAAATACAAAATTTTGTGTCCTCTACTTTGGAGAAAAAGACATCTTTCATCTGGTAACTTGGCTACTGTATTAATAACAGTGGATACAGAAGACAGTAAAGACAAAAAGAAAGCCATGTTCTGCTTTTCTATCTTGGCAAGAATTTGCCTTAATATTTAGTGGTTGTTGTATCAGGAAGTGAAATTAAACACGCAGTATGGGATTTCTAATGCAATCTGTTGGTCTAACTGTTCCCATTGTAGTCAATATTAAAACTCCCACTGACTGCACTGCCAATAGAATTAGGTCAACAATGACCATTTTGAAAAGCCATTTAATCAGAGCCAGCACCAGTAAGCTATGCAAGTTCAGAAGAATCAAATTATATCAGACCAAGCCAATTGTTTCATATTTTCAGCATTTTATCACGTTTCATGCAATCCAATGTAAAATGCTAAATCAATTTCTATTGCAGAGGTTAGGGACTTCGATACAATAGAAATGTTAAATAATTGACCAAGTGGCATCTACTAATATTCTTAAAGGTTGACACTGGATTCAGTTTCACTGTGTTCACGTAGCAGAAAAAAAGTAATATCTGAAGTACTGAGAAAATGCTAAGTATCTGTACTTATTTGCTATAATTTTTTTTAAAATTGCAGGAGGTTACTTCAGAGGAAATAGTATATAGGGCAGGAGTAGGCCAAAGATTCCATCAGGAGCTTAGAGGAGGTTACCAGAAAATGCATATTTATTTGGCTCTAGAAGTGGGTCAAGTCTGACAGCAGATCCTCTAAAGAGGGTACCTGGAAGATGGCATATGAAACTGGACATACTAAAGCAGAAACAGATCCTGAAACCTTGCAATTTGCTTCACAGGTATCTTAGAAGACAAAAAGAAAAGCCACACTGCAAGTTGGTTGTAATTCTGCAGAGAGACACAATAGCTGAAATAACATCCCCTGGATCAAGAAGACTAGTCTTTTATTCAAAAATAAAGCTTTCACCCATTATATGCTACTTTACTCACAGTCCTCAAGTCTTGGAGAAGTTGTAAACTCAACCCAGGAAAAGGGGACTACCCTACTTACGGCTCTGAGAACAAGGGTATCTCATCTAAAAACAGGATTATGTTAACGACAAAACATTCAAGACAACTAACTTATCTAAGCAGAGATTTATTTTTAAAAGTAGATACAAATAAGCAAGTCAGGATCACTGGTCCTATCAAAAAAGATACAAATATTGACATCCATAGACATCAAACTATCAAAACATTACTATTATTATTTTTAATTATATTTAAAAGACTATACATAATCTGGTAAAAATAAAATTTTATAAATATAAATGTATATACCCATCTTTGAAGGATATGACCTTTACTGAAGGAGAAGTGCTTAAGGCAGAACTGAGGGGGACAACAAGAAACAAGAGAATTTAAGTAAAAAGAAGCAACTGCTACATGAAAAGCCTTTCCTGGCATTAAATTTGTGGAGCAAAGTCCCCAGTATAGCACTGAAAACCAAACAAAAAATGAAGAATAAAAATATAAGAGAAATTGCAAAGAGCAATACTGGACAGTTGGAGAGACAGCAACCAGAAAAATAGCTTTTTAACACAATTATTGATAAAGAAGTTAGGCAAGTCACTCAAGACATGGTGCCTTTCTGTCTTTCTGT